AAAATAAAAAATATTTATTAGTAAAATTGAAAACTTTTATATAAAGAGAAAAATCTGCATTTTACTATGTTTAATTAGTAAATTTTGACGTCATTACATTATTTCTGATTGCCACTGTATAATATTATTTTAATTTTATTATATTAATTTTGTTTTGTTTTTTTATATTAATATAAAGTATTTTAAAGTTATAATATTATAATATAAAAATTAGTTATTTATAAGCTTTAAAGTATATAATTGAATATTTTAAAGTTTTTATTTTATTTTTAATTTTTAATATATTAAGTTAAAGATAAAAATAAAATAATAAGATATAATAATATTTGATAAATTATTTTTTTAATATTATTGCTTAATTTTTTTATTAGTAATAAAATAATTAAAATATATAATATTAGCTTTATTTTAATATAAAATAAAAAATATTGATTAGTAAAATTGAAAACTTTTATATAAAAAAATTGTATTTTACTATATTTTATTAATAAATTTTAATACTATATTATTTTTAATTGTTACTATATTAAATAATTAAATATTTTAAAAATCTAAAAAATTAAATAAAATATAAAGTAAATTAAATAAAAAATTTATAAAAAGAATAATAAACAAAATTATTAATTTTATTTTTAATAATTAAAATAAAAAATAATTAAAATTATATTTAAAATCTAAAAAAATTAAATCATATTATTTAATTTAAAAGTTATTGATTATTTTTTTATTTTATTTTTTTTAAAATATTATAATTAATTAATAAAAGTTTAAAATTATTTTTTAAAATAAATATAATAATATTAGAATTTTTATTTTTATATAAAACTATAAATAATCTATATTTTAATATAGTATATATAATTTAGTTATATTAAATTATATAATTACAATTTCAAGTTTTAAAAGTTAATTATTTTTATTTAAGTTACTAAATATAATATCAATTAAAAAATAATAATATATTTTGCATACTAAAATTTAATTAATTAAAAATAATTATTAATAATCATGTAACTTATTTTTAAAAAAAATTTTCTTAAATTAAATTTAAAAAATATATAATATATATAATCTAATTATATTAATAAAAGTTTAAGCAATTTTAAATTTTTCACACTTTTACAAAATATATATATTTAAATAACTCTTTATAAATTAATAAAATATTATTAACTTTCATTTTATAAAAGTTAATTTCAGTTTTTTAATTTTTATATAGTAATATTTATTTAAATTTTGTTACTTTTTATTTGTTATTATAAATTTGAAATATGTTATAAGATATGTTAATTAATTTTTTATAATTAATATATAATAAAAATATAATAACAAAAAATTTATTAATAAAACAAGATAAAAATATAAATTTTTTTCTTTATATAAAAGCTTTTAATTTTATAATAAATATTTTTTAATTTATATCAAACCAAAAATTATAAGTTATAATTTAATATATATTTTTTTGATTTTTTATTTTAATTGCAAAATTATTGCAAAAATTTTTTATAATTAATTTTATATTTTAATTATAAAAAATTTTTGCAATAACTTTGCAATTAGAATAACTTTGTCAGAAAAAATCTAGAAAATATATGTTAAACTATAACTTATAGTCTTTGTTTTAAAAAATATTTATTAATAAAATTGAAAACTTTTATATAAGATAAAATTTCAATTTTTACAATATTTTATTAATAAATAATTACATAATTCTGTTAGTTACTATATATATTTAATTATATATATTTTATAAAAAAATTTTTACTATAATAAATTTTTGAATTCTTATTTTATAAATTTTACTATATATATATAATAAATAATTTAATTGTTAAAATTCAATTTTATGAAATTTGAAATATATTTTTATCAAATATATAGTAATATGCTTGCATAATTTGAAGTTTTAATATTGATTTTTTAATGCAAAACAATATAAATAGTTAATTTAGATTATTCCTTGTTTAATGTAAAAAAATTCTAAATATTAATTAAATTCTAAATAACTTTTATTAAAAGCAATTATTAATTTTTATTTTGAAATACAAATTAAATAGTTACATTAATTAATTAAACAATATTAATAAAATAAATGTTCAATTTTTCTATTATTTTTAGACAAATTTTAAAACTTATTTATAATTACTTAGCTTTTTAATAAAGTTTTAACTCAAGATTACATAATTATTATATTTATTTCAAATGATGTTAACTAAGTGAATGAAAATGAATGAAAGAAAATCCTTAAAAAAAACAAAAGAGAATTGATGCTAATTTATTTGACTTGAACAAAATGATTGATTCAAGATGATTTTGAAATGATAAATATGTAAGTTGTTTATCTTGATCATGTTACATTCGTGGCGTTTAGCAATTGACCTCTGTAATAATTCTTTTGTGGCATGCCACTATTTGATAAATAATGCGTTCGGACGAAACTCAATGTATTCAAGTAGAAACAAAGAAAAATAAACTATATAGCTACGTATAATTTAAGAAAATTTACTAATACGAAAGTAAATAAGCTAACTACTTTCGTTTCATTTTCCTTAATGTCTTACAACAAACTACGTAACTAAAATTATTAAATTTTGGTCACGTGTTTCTCACACCAGCCATCTAACTCACGTGACACTATTGGGGGAAGTTGTTTTTTTCTGGTTCGAATTCCTTCTATTGGCTGGGCTGGGTGTTTTTTCTATTCAGAATAGTTATATATTCCCATACATTCTAGTTCTTCAAAGCTCCAGAAAAAAATATTCCTGATTTTTTTCCTCTTTTTATTTTTTTAATAAATATTTATTACAATTTTATTTGAATAAATAATAAAAAAATAAAAAGAATTAAATCCCTCAAAATAATATTATAATTAAAAATATAAATTAAGAAAAGAAAAGTATGAGCGAGAAGGCTCCAGAGTTTAGCCTTGGGGCTACCACCACGACTGCTAAGGTGACGCCTTTAGCCCCACCACCTTTACACGTGAGCGAAGCTACTGCTGAGAACGGTAGTGGGGAGGTGATCATTATTTACTTTATATTTTTTTTTAATGCAACCATAGCTGCAAACATACTGTAAAAAATATGATAAATTGAGCAAACGGATTCAAAAAAAAAATAATTAATAAATAAATAACACAAAAAAATAATTTCTAATTTTTCCTAAATTAAACAAAATAAAATAGATTCTCCACGAATACGTATCCAAAAAACAAAACAAAAATTCCAGTAAAATGGATACAATCACCACATCAGCGTCATCCATATCATTGTCCTCGACAGCTCAAATCGTAGTAAAAAAAGAAGTAACATCGGATGTAATAACAACCGACGAAATAGAAATAGACCACTTGACAATTCCAGTCGTCAACAATAACAATGGCAGAAAAACTAGCTCTTCGTTCTTATTAGCGGATGTGTCGACCGGATCACCAGATTCAGACGCAAAGAATATTGGTGGTAGTAGTCAAGCGTCTCGATCATCTTCGTCTTCAGCATCTAATTCGTCGCGCAGTAGTTCACCAACTACTAACACGATTAAAGAAATAGCCACTACGACAATTATTAATCCAAAAAGAGGACGTGGACGACCACGAAAAAGTGATACTACGAACGAGTCTGATAATCATTCTCAGTCTGCAGTCAAACAAACTATGGTGATGTTTGACCTTAATGATGACAGTAATGATAACTCAGCACCACGAAAACGTGGACGTCCTCCTAAAGATTCTACACCATTCGCGCAATTTGCAACTGCTGCTGCTGGGGTTTCTGGATCATCTAATGATATTGATAATGATAATGATGATAATAATAATAATAATAATCAGCTGCCGAAGAAAAGAGGACGACCGCCAAAAAGTTTTGGCTCATCATCAATGTCATCTGGTGTCAATTTACCAAAGAGACGCGGACGCCCTCCAAAAAGTACTATATCGACTACCACTAGTAATACAAATCATGGTGGAACCGGGAGAAAACGAGGTCGTCCCCGAAAGGAAGAAACAATAAGTCGCAATAGAGAAAGGAAAACTGGTTCATCCTCTTCATATATTCCAAATCCGGACGGATGGACAGCGGAAGAGGATAGGACATTGGTAGACAGTGTCCTTGAAAGTTTGGCTGTGCCTCCGTGGACTGAAATAGCTAAGCGCGTTCAAAATCACGATGCCTCAAAGTGCTTTAATCGATGGACAAGTTTGAAGAGACGATTATACCGCGACGGAGATGAATAAGATAACGTGACAAAATCATCATCAATAATCAATCAACGGATGATCTCTTTTTTATATAACTGGTGAAGTAACTTATATAATCATTATATATTTTCTTCTTTCTCTACTTCTCTCTGAATTTATAACTTCTTTTGATTAGAATTATTGATTACTTTCTTTCTGAAAGTGATTCGTGTGTAAATTTCTCTTGATCTACTTTATTTCCTCCAACAAAATAGGATTAGTGTAAAAAATCCTTTCTTAACATCTTCGCTTCTACTGATAGAATTTACATTTTTTATTTCTATATTAGTGTGTATGTTGAGCGTTAGGTATAAAGAATAAATAGTCAGGCAAACAGGGTTATATTTTTAGGAAAATAGTTAGTGATTTTTTTCATACTTTTAATAGTGATTGAATAAATAGTGATTTCTCTATAACGGTTTAAATTTGATAAAATATAATCACCGCCACAAATTCAGTGGCCGCCATTCATGATAATAACGATAATGCGTGGTTTAATTTCTGTCGTACATGATGTACATGATACTATATTTCATAAGGTTCGAAGATCGATAATCATGTAAAAATTTTGCCTCGTAAAAGAAAAAATGAAGCCTAAATACATTGTAGGTACTGTGTATGTATTATATGTGCGTTTGCCATTCAAAATTTCAATGAATAAAGTGAAAATTCCAATATGAAGAACACATGGAAGATAATATACACGAATGGTGTCTCCTCGAATACCTCAACATTACCACATTTATATCACCCGAATGCTTTTACCTAACAAATTTATCACCTGACGCGAAATCCCAGCTTTCACAAAAACCGATTCTACAAGAGTGCCATTTGTTAACTAGCGATGTGAATAGCATGGGGATTGAAAAAGAGCGAATATGTTTGTTGGATCCTGCATCTAGTGATGTTTTGGTGCCTGCTGATGCTGAAAAGTTCGAGTATTTTTTATTTGGTGGGATTTTGGGTGATGATCCTCCAAAAGGTAAATTTTTAATAATTATGCAAGATGTTCTATTATTTCCTACTCATTACTGTAATTATTCCTGTTATTGTTTCTTATGATGACAATAATTAGATCGAACAAACGAGCTACGACAATTTGGATTCCCGACTCGACAATTGGGGTCTTTACAAATGACAACAGACACCGCGTTAATAGTCACTAAAAAAATTATCGAAGATTCTATTGTACTTGATCAAATCCCGTTTATTGATTTTCCCGAGATAAAGTTTGATAAGACAGAGTCAGTGGTAAGTTGTTTTTTACATGTTATATATATATATATATAAAATATCCCGAGAGATGAAAAATTGATTGAATTGTGTATCACTATAGATAATGCCATTTCGTTACATTTCAATTCCTGATATGAATGTCTCGACACTACAAACTACCAATAATCAACTAAAGAAACATGTTAAACCGTTAATGCCTTACGGAATGATTGAACTGCTAAAAAATGAGGGAGATATGGTGTTAGAGTTTGAATGAATAATAAATAATGTACATTTGATTGGACCGTTGTCGTGTGTCACATGCATAAAAAAGCTAGACTAAATTACCATAGAATTAACCAAGTATGGAAACCATCATTAACAACCTTCCCGAACCTGGGGAAATATTAACTCACGACTTTCGTCCAAAAATATATTCTAATGATGACGAAGAAATCAACGAGAATAATAATATATCACCCAAACCCACCACCAGACCAATAAAGTGTCTTCAATGGAACGTAGAAAGAAACTATCGTGCTTCGAAGATAATAAAAACTTTAAAAGAACTTGACCCTGATATTGCATTTATCCAAGAAATAGACATTGGGTGTGCACGTTCCGAAAGACGCGATCATTTTCGTGAAATTGCTAAAGAGTTGAGGTGGATGGGTGTCTATGTATGCGAGTTTTTCGAGATTGAAAGTGAGAAAAGGACAAAACGTGACCAGGGCGGTGGTGTACACGGGAACGCGATATTTACTAAATATGATATTGCGTCGTTTCGTTTGATTGATCATAAGTATCATCCGTATAATTGGGAACGTGATGGTAATAAATTGGGTGAACCGAGAAAAGGAAGGTTAGAAATTTTTGGTCTTATATTAATTAATTAAACAATCACTATTTTTACTGATAAATCAACTAACCAATCGCTTATTTAATTTAAAGACGATTCTCTTTAGTAGCGGAAGTTAAAACACCATTTGGACCTCCAATTTTATGCTATTGTGTTCATTTAGAGGTAAGTTTATTATGAATAACAATATTAACAATCTATTACGTGATTAATTCTCCATTGCTTTCTAGGTCTTCTGTGGCATAACAGGACGTATCGCTCAATTTTCCGAAATATTATCAGATGCTACCGCACACATGACCACTCATCCGTATCAACTAATCTTCGGTGATCTGAATACAATGTCACGCTCAATAGCGCGTCTATCACATCTCTGTTCAACCGATCAATATCGTATACTATCATTAGGAACGTCCGAGTCAGTGTGGTGGGATAAATATTTGTTGTCTTGGCATGTTTCGGATGGAGAATCTAATTTGTTATTAGAATCTCGTGGATTGGGATATTTCAGTTCGTTATTCAATAGAAATGGTAGAAATAAAAACAATTATAATAATGTTGCTAGTAACAGTAATGGTGATGATAATAATAATGATAATGATCGATTAGTCGAGGATGCAGTTGTGAAGAAAACATTTTCAGGATTCACGACGAGTGTATTACGCACTGCCCGAAATCCCGGATTTTATGATCCATGGAATCCAGAACACGATGTCACATTACACCTCCCGAAGTATTTTGGTCTTTATCGTGCAAAACTTGATTGGACGCTTATTCGAGGATTTGACGTGGTGAAACGGTGGATGGGAAATCATGATTATAGCGCATCGGATCATAAGTATTTGATGGTTGCGTTGGAGTTTGATGATTTATTGGGAAACAATAGTAATTTAAATGACAATATAGCTGTCGATTCGGAAGCTATGGAAAAACAAGTTTGGAGCAGTCGGAGAAAATATTGGGCTAGAAGGACTAAGAGAGGGTGGAAGGTTCGAAAAGTTAGAGAAGGTGAAGACTGTGATCATGTAGAGGACGATAATGGTAATGGTGGGAAAAAAAGTTGGTTGAGAGAACTTGGTATTAGTTGTGTTTGAATTTTTTAGATTACTTATCCTTAAATTTAGAGCATAATTTATTTAATTTATACGCATAGAATTCCCTCGATTGTTATAACATTCCAATTATGTAATTTATTATAAATACAATTTCACACACACACATATATATATTGGCTTGTAACACGTCATAGATGAATAGTAAAGATATATACTTTAATTACTACCAAAAGCCAACATTATTTAATTTCCAAAAATTTATTACCAAGCATAATGGGAGACTTCCCAAAACTAACTTAAACGCAACCTTTAAATGAAAGAATCCTAAGTCAAATTCATGTTTTTATTTTGAAATACTATTATTATCTCTGTTTTCCCAACTTGTAACAAGTTTGATTGACGGTTGCAAGTTTGCGATGATTCCCAGTTGGCGATCTAAAATTTAAGCACGTACTTCATGTGAAGTTATCTTCATCTGATTTCTGATTTTGCATATTTCGTCGCGTTCTCGCGTTTTCGCACAATGGCCAATTAATGTCACCCTTACTTTGACGAGACCGACGTTGAAGACTGGGACATATTTCAATTCCATATAGATTGGATCCGCATTCACAAGGAAAACCCTGTAAAGCTTACTTATGATAAAGAGTCTCCGCATGATTGCTAGATGTCGAAAGGCTAACAGCCTTTCGAGATGAATGCCTTTTTCGTCTTTTGGATGGTGCAGCAAGACTCGACTCTACATATGAGATGAAGGAGGCGCGGCTTTTCGCTGTTCCTCTGATATGCTCTTCGTTTGTTGTGGCTTGCTGCAGAAATGGTTATTAGCGGAGCGCAGAAATCATTTTATTCGATTAGATTGAATTTCTCTTTGTTATGATCAAAAGCCATGTAAAAATGGCAATGATATATAGACAACTTATGACTCACCGTCGAAAACAAGATACGTGCTCCTCGGTTAGTGCAGAAGACGAGTTTAGAACTTCTTAAGGTAACTCTTGCATGTTAACTGCATAGATATGGAAGAACTGACTACGATTTGTATCTTGCGATGGATATAGTTGGTGATTCAGGAGTATCGGTAGCCTTCCTGGTCCCCACCTTCGCGACCGTCTTTGCTTTTGCTCGTTGAGTCATTGAAGAACGAAATACACATAATTTCTAACTATCTACTCTATTCCAACAAGATGACCTTAGGAGTAATTGATGAACGGATAACGGTAAGCAGGAGCAAACGTCAGTGGCTTTTCTGTTTTGACAATACTTCTTAATATCTGCAATTACTGGATCTCTCAATAGGAATGGTCAAAGCACTGTTGATGATTTCCATATGTTGAACTCTCATCGCGATACACGGAAAAGTTCTCGGAGTTGCAGGCCATGAATGGCAAGCAAACCCCTAACAACGATTTCCCGGAGAAACACGGGTTCGAAAAAGTAAAATCAATATTTGATTCTCAGCGTGCTTTCCAACAAAACTTACTGAAATGTTCTGTTCCTGTCTTTGATCCAGACTTCCCAACGAAAAGACTAAGAACCGATAGCGATTCGCCACTCTGCAACGAGGCGTCTTCCTTATCAGACTCCGAGTTTGTGACGTCTGTTCTTATGAACGAAAATTCTAACATGTCTAATATGTTTTTAGGACTTCATTCGCTTTGTCACGTCGCAAAGGTGCATCAGATAGTCTTATTAAATAAACCGAAGAAACTTCCGCCCATATAATAATAATGATAATAATAACAATAATAACAATAGTATTAATAACATCAAGGAATGTCCATCTCTTGGACAACGTTCAATATTTCTTCTTTTTTTTGGACGCCGTCCACACTCATTTTATCGAATTGGTTTGTAGTTATGTATTATTGTTTTTTGGTTTTTTCTTTGTTGATGCTAAAGATGAGTTTGAATCCAATTTGCCCGTATTTATCTCAGGATCGACGGAAGTTTCGAGAAAGACGTTCTCAAATTTGTTAGTAAGTTCTTTCTTTGCTTCATTTCCATTATACTTTACAAGTGTACCTGTAAAACTTGTGGAGATATAATTTAACTGGTGTCCCTCAAAATTGTGAAATACAACTTTACTGGTATCCTTCAAACATAGTTCATGTCGCAAAACAAACCACACCAATACTTCAGTCGCACATCCTCTAAATGGGGCATTGTCCTGCCGGGTGAGAAATTGATGTCGATGTACTGGATTCTGCTAGGCCGCAAAAAGCCCTCTTTCTATTGATGTTATTAATTTTCACAACCACGACAACACCAAATTTTTATCCCGCGATTTCAAACAGTTTATTGCAAACCAGATCCAAGATCATGAGATCGGGGCTGTCTATTTTGCTAACGGACGAAGCATTGATAAAATTGTGGTGGATTGTGAAGAGGATGTGTTGCGATTCTTGGAGAAGTTCGACCACGTAGGAGATATGGCGTCTTTGAGAAGATGTATGGACGAAAATTCGATCAATTACTCCACCGGGTCGAACGACCTTATTTATGTGCAGAACCTGTTCTACCATTTCTACTTGTGTAAAAACGACATCCTATTACAGCCCATGTCTGAATATGAGTTTAATGCGTATGTTTGGACCCCGTTGCTTAGAAATTCGTTTCTCGAAAGGAGAATATGAAATTAAATTAATAAGACCAATAGAGAGAGGGCTTTTTGCAGCCTCGTTTTTCTTCATGCTTGGGCGAGCAGAATCCAGTACATCGACATTACTATACATCAACTTCGCTATGTCACGAGTTATGCTGATGCTAAAGATGAGTTTGAATTTAATTTATCTCAGGCTCGACGGAAGTTTCGAGAAAGACGTTCGTAAATCACGAACTCGAAGTCTGATGAGGAAGAATCCTCGTCTCAGAGTGACGAATCGCTCCTTGGCCTCTTATTGAGGTGTCTCCGTGTTAGGTTCCTGGTGTCTTTTAAGATTGTCCAATTTCGTCTGGATCACAAGAAAGGAAGGCAATTCCACAGAACATGTTAATAAGTTATTTGTTACTTGAAGCAATTGATAAAGAACCATTAAACCTCATCATTTGATTGGTATCACTGATGTTGCATCTTGTTTCATATGTTTAGATGCAGATTCCAGACTTACAATGGCACCGTTATTCAGATCACCAGCATAGCACTCTACAGCTTGAGCAATACCAGATATGCAACTGTTCAGTTGCCCTTTTTCGGTTAATTAAGTTGAATGGAATTACCTTCTCTTTACAGCATCGTATAACGTCGGGCTTAGCTCCTTCACCGTTCCCAGAAATCTTCTAACCCATGCACCATCAAGGCCCTTCCAATCGTCTGAATGTGGTGAACGATGGCACGGTTCAGCCTCAAAAAATCTACGTATGACCAGTAGTCAGAATCAAGGCTTTTCAAATATAGTCGTACTTCGTTATATTACAGGGTCGGGAAACAGAAATCTGGTGACTATAAGCTGCGACTATGGAGGTCAAATTTCTTATACTTTAATAGCTGGTACTGGTAAAGAGTGTAACGAGGTGCGACTGTAGGCTATGAGAGCTACCAAAAGAAAATATAATTAGTACCTTAGCTTTTTCCTATTGCATGTTGAGTCAGTGCTGTCAGTACTTGCCTGCACGACCAGGGTACATTTCATAGTTAAAATGGTTTTAGACGCGCGTAAAAAGTGATAAGGTCACACAAATGCAAGTTACCTGACCCACGTGATACACGTTCTTTAGTAGATTACATTTTTTGTTTCCTTCCATTGCAGCTATGGCCAACGAGGTACACGACACTTCAATTCTCTTATCAGAAAGCCAACAATTACCCGCAAAAAAAGAGACATTCGACCAACTTCAAGCGCGTCACAAAAAAGAGCTTAAAGATCTCGTAGCGCGTACCACTTCTCTAAAGAAGACCGCAACAAAAGGTGACAAAAAACGAAGGAAAGAAGTACAAGCGGAAATTGTTAAACTTGAGACTGAGTTACACGCAAGACATGAACTAGAAATAAAAATTCATAAGGATACTCATTCTCCCCCTTCAAATTCTTCGTTGGTCTCGGGGCATAATAATGACGCAGCAGTTCTCGAAAAAACTTTAGTAGAAAGTAGTGGTAGTGATATTGTCGCAAGTGAGAAAGTTAGTTCCACACTACTTTTACATCTTTGTGCTTATGAAACTATTTTTAAAGGATTTGGTATTTTAAAGAGTATTTTAGAGAATGTGAAAATAAAAGCGGATAAACAAGAGGAAAAGGAAGAAGAAGATATAATCGACACTTTATTGGCCAGACTTGAATCCATGAAAACAGAAGAAAAAGAACCGAAAACAACAATACAATCAAAAGATAAACAACAACCTAAACCTAAAAGACAGCAAAAAAGAAAGGTATTGTATTTAGCACTCAACCATAAAACTTAAAATGTTTTCATTGATTAGTTGACGAACTGGTTATTTGTTTTACTACCAGGAACGAAAAGCTGCCAAGTTCAAAGAAATGCAAGAACAAGGAGAAAAGGAGGCAGACGGTCAGATAAACATGCAAGCGATTGAGAGAACTGCCATTCAGGAATTAACAAAATCGATGGGACTCTCAATTAAAGAAGTATGTCTATATATTTTATCGTTATTTTCCTTGTCCACTTTATTTATGTATTGCGAAATAAATATCCAATAGATTACCCCAGACGGTCACTGGTTTGTAATTATAATAATGGAAGGGTGGTGAATGTGTGTATTACATTTTCGTAATGTCTCCGCTACACACTTCTTACTGATCCTGCTTATGTAATATAATATAGTTTGTATAATGCTATTGCAGACCAGCTTCAATTCAGACATAACATTTCGGTATGTTTTATTTATATTTGAGTGTCTTCTATCGAGTGCAATTTCCCCAGTACAGAGAATTCTCAATACATAAATAGACAAATTACAAAGATCTAAGAAAAGAGACTGCGAATTACATGCGTGAACATTTCGACGATTTTCTCCCATTCTTGACAACAGAATCGGGTGACCCTTATAATATGGGTAAGTGAAATCCATCAAGTTGCATAATTCTATTTTGTTTTGTTTTATCTTATTAATTGTTTGATTCCTCTTTTCTGATTATTAGAACAGTTTCAAAAGTATTGTGACGAATTAGAAAGTACCGCCACATGGGGGGGTCAATTAGAGGTATATTACATATGCATGATGCATTTTATTAATGTGCAGATTGTAGACAGTTAACTCTCTGTATCATTTCCAGGTAAACGCGTTATCGAAAGCATACAAACTCCCAGTCCATATAGTACAAATGGATTCGCCAGTTTTGAAAATATCTGATGTTGAATTTTCGGGACAGCAGCCGATTATTTTATCGTTCGTATTTTCTTTTTTCTTAGTTTTATATTCCTATTTTATCTAACTAGACATTTGTTACAGGTATCATCGACATATGTACGGATTGGGTGAACATTACAATTCACTCCGAAAAAATGAATAGAGCTGTATTATCACAAAATCAAAGTAATGAGAAAAAAATTAGCTGCACATAATCCCATATATTTAGATACCCAAGAACTTAAATAAACTGGCGATAAGCGCATTCTTATTATTATTTATTAAAAATATTTTTTGAGAATAATGAGCACAGATAATAATAAATAAGTATATATTATATCAAAACCCGCTCGTCTATCAATCTTGTCTTTGTAAACACCATTTAACATTATTTAATAACTACAAAACCAAAAAAATTGAATTTAAGCATTAAACTTAATAAAAACAATAATAAATAATTCGCCCCAAAGTTTGACTCACCGATAATGAATAGATTTATAAGGACCATCCTGATGTAGTCCCAAATAATCCGCTTGTTTATTATTAAGTATTGTAAGCTTGACACCCAACTTCTCCAAATGAGCCCGCGCGACTTCTTCATCAAGTTTTTTTGGCAACATGTGCACGCCTAACGGGTACGACGCCGTATCGGTCCAAAGTGCGATCTGAGCCAACACTTGGTTCGTGAAAGAATTGCTCATGACGAAACTTGGGTGGCCGGTTGCACAGCCGAGATTGACGAGACGGCCTTCCGCGAGGAGGATAATATGACGACCGTTGCTAAGTGTGTAACGATCTACTTGAGGTTTGATGTTGATCACGGATGCGGCATTGGCTTTTAACCATGCTACATCGATTTCGATGTCAAAATGTCCAATACTATTATTTTAGAAAAAAATACAATTTTCAATCGCCAAGATAGAAATATATTTAATTATGCGAAAAAAACAAGATAAAAAACTCACTTGCACACAATTGCATCATCTTTCATATTTATAAAGTGTTCGCCTGTAACAATGTCACGGCAACCAGTACATGTGACAAAAATATTTCCTTCTTTTGAGGCATCCTCCATTGTGGTAACTTCGAAACCTAGATTATTATGAATAGCCATATATATATAATCACCAATTTTTTGTTTATAACACGATCATATTTTTCTTGAATATCTTATATAACAAAAATACATACCCTCCATACAAGCTTGTAACGCATTAATCGGATCGATTTCAGTAATTACAACACGAGCACCCATTCCACGTAAAGCCGCAGAACAACCTTTTCCTACGTCACCGTACCCTGCAACTACACATACTTTGCCTGCAATTTGAACATCGGTGGCACGCTTTCGTTATGTGAAACAATAAAAAAATTATGAACATGAAAAATCTAATTGACAAAAATTTATTAGTGTATAATATATATACCTTTATGCCATCAATCAAAGATTCGCGACACCCGTAAAGATTATCAAATTTAGATTTGGTCACAGAATCGTTAACATTAATAGCGGGAACCTTTAATTTTCCCTCCTTGAGTCTTTTATACAAGTGGTGAACTCCTGTAGTGGTCTCTTCCGAGATACCTTTTATGCCTATGATTAATCCGTCATAAGTTTTGAAACAAAAAAATTACAAACAAAGATCAAACAATAATAAAATTTACCATCTAAAAGCTGCGGATACTTATCATGCACCAAATTAGTCAAATCGCCACCATCATCCAGAATCATATTAAGCGGTTTTCCGTCTTTAAACGCAAACAACGTCTGTTCGATACACCATACGTACTCCTCCTCAGTCTCACCTTTCCACGCAAACACTGGGACACCCGTGGCGGCAATCGCAGCGGCTGCATGGTCTTGTGTCGAGAAAATGTTGCACGAACTCCAGGCCACATCGGCCCCGAGGTGAGTAAGCGTTTCAATGAGCACCGCTGTTTGAATTGTCATATGGAGACAACCGGCTATGCGTGTCCCTTTAAGTGGCTTTTCTACATCGTAGCGTCGACGCAGTGTCATTAGACCGGGCATTTCATTTTCTGCAAGCTCGATTTCTTTGCGACCGAATGCAGCTTGAGAAATGTCGGCTTTTTGATTGAAAGCAGGATAACATTATATCAATATCTATTTACTTAATTAAATCAAAAAATCTTCTTTAAATAACATACCAACTTTATAAGTTGACATCATATAATAATTCGTTAATGAAATCTATAATAAGCCAAACAGAAAACAACCCTTTATAAAAAAAAAATCTTGCCCAACAAAAAAATTGAGATGATAATCTAGCCAAAAAAAAAAGTTCAGGCATGTGACTTTTTGTGATTGCACTAAACCTTAATTCTAGTCAGATGATAATTCACATGAAACACGCGACGAAAATCCCCCTACTGCATGTGAGAGGAGTGCGTTTACAATCCATACTACTATGTCCAAGAACCAGAAGTTACTGGACTGAATCATATTGCACTTATAAAATTACTAAGTCCAGTGGTCCAGTGGTCCAATGGCGCAGTATTGGACTAACGTGACAACACTGCTTTTAAGTTACAATATCAATATGTTTTTGGCTTTATATAAGGATTGAACTGAATTTTATACCTTACAAAATAAGAAATGAGTTTATTTATTGGTTCAATTGACCAAGGCACTACCTCTTCACGTTTCTTGATTTTTGATGACAAAGGCGGACTTGTATCCTACCACCAAGAAGAATATCCTCAACATTATCCCAAACCTGGGTTAGTAACTTTTAAAAAACCTGCATTAGCTATATACTTAATATACTAATTAATATGAAACTTTTTTTATCATTATATTAATCAAAGTTGGGTAGAACATGATCCAAATGACATTCTTGATTCGGTTTGCATATGTGTAAGTCAAACAATCAGAAAATTTGAGGAATTAGGTCATTCAGTCAAGGATATCAAAGCCATCGGCATTACTAGTCAACGCGAGACTACCTTGGTTTGGGACCGTCTTACCGGGAAAGCACTATACAATGCCATTGTATGGTGCGACACACGAACCCATGATTTAGTTCATCAATTAAATAAGATTAGTCCGCTGGGCGCTGATGTCTTAAAAGAAACATGCGGTCTCCCAATTACCACATATTTTTCCGCTCTGAAACTTAAATGGATGCTGGACAATGTACCAGCTGTTAAAGAAGCTTATGATAAAGATAATTTATTGTTTGGAACTGTTGATTCATGGCTTATTTGGGTAATTATCTACATCATATTTGTGCATTTATTTTTTTTTATTGATGAATTTTGCGCAATTAGAATCTAACAGGTGGTATTGAAAGCGGATTACATCTTACTGATGTAACAAATGCTTCGCGTACAATGTTTATGGATATCAAAACGCTACAGTGGAGCGATAAAACTCTCGAATTTTTTGGAATAAAACGATCAGTTCTCCCGAAAATCGTTTCTTCCGCTGAAATATATGGAAAAATTGCAGGCGATTATCCTTTAAAAGGAATCCCAATAGCCGGGAATTTAGGCGATCAACAAGCAGCTCTTGTTGGCCAGAAATGCTTTAAACGCGGCGAAGCCAAAAATACATATGGGACTGGATGCTTCATGCTTTTCAACACAGGTCACGTGCCGGTAATTACTAAATGTGGATTATTGACTACTGTTGGCTACAAATTTGGAAACCAAGAAACTGTGTACGCATTAGAAGGCTCGATTGCTGTTGCCGGCGCTGCTGTAAAGTGGGTTCGCGACAATCTAGGCATTATTAATGAAACCCCCGAAATTAATGATTTAGCAGTCCAAGTCGAAGACAGTGGCGATGTATACTTTGTAACTGCATTTTCCGGATTATTTGCTCCATACTGGCGCGACGACGCTCGCGGATGCATCGTCGGCATAACTCAGTACACAAAGAAAGCTCACATAGCTCGTGCAACGTTGGAAGCTTCCTGTTTCCAGACTCGTGCAATTATAGACGCGATGAACTCGGAGTCTGGTGTACCGTTAGCTTCGCTAAAAGTTGACGGGGGACTGAGTAATTCCGACATATGTATGCAAATTCAGGCGGATATTCTTGGTATTGAGGTTAATCGTCCAGCAATGCGCGAGACAACTGCGTTGGGAGCTGCGATTGCGGCCGGGTATGCAGTGGGTGTTTGGAAGTCGTTGGACGAATTGAAGAAAATTAATGCCCAGGGTCATACGTTGTTTGTGCCAAAAGTTTCCGTGGAAAATCGTGAAGCGAGGTATAAGCAATGGCAAAAAGCTGTTGAAAAAAGTTTGGATTGGGTGTAAGTTTGATTTGGGTATAAGTTTAATTTGATAGTTTTCATTTCTTAATTAACTTCCTTTTATTTCTCTCAATTATATTTAGTAGAATACAGGTTTTGCTTTTAATTTGTATTATTTAAATTCTAAATTCGTTTTTAATTTGTATTCTAAATTTGTTTTTAATATTTAAATTCTAAAATATAATTAATATAATTATAGCATAACTTCTTCCCAATTTCCCTCGAGTAATAGTAGGAAAAAACGTTCTTAGCAAATTCATCTAGCAAAAAAAAGAATATCAATGGTATAAAAAATTCCTCTTTAAAAACTTCAGAAATTACTAATTCATAGAAAGGTCCCACTTCTCCCATGACCGAATTTTGACCCTAAACCTTTAGCCTGGTCCACAATTTCTCGACGCTTACGAGAATCCATTCGTCTTGGCCCCAAAACATCTCGGTCACGATCAAATGGTCGTTGTCGCACGTCATCTTTCTCCCATTTCTTTGATTTTACGTAGGTCTCGGAGTGTTGCTCTAGTAGGGATACTGGGCGATGCATTGCCTAAGTGAGTTTTTATGAGATAAAATTAATATTACGACTAAGTAATAAATAGATAGAGTTTGAAAATAATAGATACATTGTACTCCTTGATACTTTCAGCTGTCTCCAATTCCTCTTTAGAATATTTAATGGGTTCATCATCATCGACTTTGACATGTTTTCTTTTTTGAGAACTATTCTATTATTGGTAAATATTAATAACTTATCCAATCGAATATATTAATTTTATTATTCATGAAAATAAGGGATAAAAAAGCTGTAATAGTTTTTCCACCTTTATTCGCTCTATTCTTTCAGCAGGAGTTTCAGTCCAAAGCGAATTATCCACTTTGGATGGATCATATTCTTTTTTGTTAAACTGTCTTGACCGCATATTTGTAGGCGATTCTAAATTTTTGAACGAATATTGAAATTGTCATTTTTAGAGATTCACAAAAATTAATGAGCCTTTTTATTTTTCTGACCTCCAAGAAATCCAGCTTTAGGAGGGACAATCATCCATTCGCCACGTTCTGTTTTCTTTTCTGAATCTGAGTCATCAGGCTATCATTATAATAATAATTTCGCGTCAAAAAAAGCTTTATATAATAGAGCAACGGAAAAACCAAAATACCCGAAGTTCCCTTCGCATTTTCTCAGCCCTCTGTTCAAATTCGTGAATTTTCGTTTGCATCTCAATTTCATCATTAATCTCATCAGAGAACCCTTTCGGCAACACTGGACCAATGATATCTTCTTCTTCTTCCACCTCTCCATTTTGTAAATTCGCCAAAAACTCAGGAGGTGGTGGTGCTGCAGGACCGACAACACGTCTACTCGACTTTTTATTCAAAGATTCGTCACCATCTACCGAGACGTTTAAATCTCTTGCTTCACTTTTTAGATTCCGTTTTCTTTTTGCTCTTTCTTCAAGCAGATCCGGTGGCAATGCTGGCATGTACGAGTCTGGATCATCTTGATCACGGATATCTTCTGATTCTATTGGATCGAGGTTACTACTTTTAGATTTGGAAGACAGGTGTTCATTTGAGTCTTCTTGCTCGTTATCTGATACTTCTTGCTCGTTATCTGATACTTCTTGCTCGTTATCTGATACTTCTTGCTCGTCGGAATCAGTTTGAGGCTTTTTCAGCAAGTGTTCAGGAATCTCGGGTCCTATGTTTAACGACATTATGAGAAACAGACAAGATCATAAAGTTTACGAGCGAAAATTGCTTCTTTGTATAATACTTGTATGTGTGGTTACATTTGACGAGATCACGGGATTTTTAAAAGACGCGACATGGAATGTTGTACCGATTTCCGAAAAGATGAACTTTCAAATTTATCGTCAATCCGCAAACAAAATTTTCAATCATCACCTTTATTACAATACTTTATTACTAACGTCCCATAACAAATTATGTAAATTTGTTAATTTATACAATAAACGAAATGATGAACAACTTGATCTAATTCGCAATTTTTCCAATTCTCTTCCCTTTTTTGTCACGGTAACCTCGTTTCGCTTAGCGCAATCACCTGGGAGACCACGACGGGACGAAGAAATCGATATTCCCTTTGTAAATTTCGTAAATACCGAAGGAAAAATGGAGGGAATTCGAAGCACTAAAGAACTCTTATCAACAATCAACCGAGGAAAATATTGGCTCGTAGAGGTATCACCGAATGCGAACCCACCCGTCTGCAAACTCGTCGACAAAAAAGAAACATTTGCCAAACAAAAAACATTAAAACAGAAATCCAAAGTTTTGCTACATTCCGGACACTTGAAAGAGGTGCAGTTGAGCTGGAGTGTCTCGGATAATGATTTCTCGCGGAAACTTTCGAAAGCTAAAGAGTTTCTTCAGAAAGGATACAATTTGAAGATTATTGTCAAGACGAGGAAAGGTGGTAATCGACCATCGCCTCAAGATGAAAAATCGATGCATAAGAGAATCGTTGATGCGCTTACAGAATATGCAAAAGAAATTAAAGTGCCCGATTTTGGCAAAGGAACATTAACTATTGATATTACCGGAAAAGGATTACTTTTGGGGGATACAAAAAAAATTGAAGCAAATGATACGGAAAAGTAATGGATACTTTTTATTTATGCTTATTCGAGTATATACGCAATATTGTTGTCAAATACAATTAAGTTAACGAAAATATATGCATCTATTTGCTAATATAATCACTATATCCGAGAAATGAATTTCTATCCTCGATAATTATAAACTTTAAGATTCTCTTGTTTGTCCAAACTACTACATATTATAGAGGGATTTTCTTATAAAAAGGATAGCAAAATATAAATACATGTATTTATTATAAGACTAAACAGCGGGATGGATGAATCAAGATTTAGTGATTTCTTGAAAGTTCCCACTGCAAGATGTAGCTACTTAATTCGAAAAATAGACCTGACAGAATACAAATTCTATTGGAAATAATGACAATAATACTAATAATACCGAAAGTGATAATAATAATAATAATAAAGAGGATAATAATAATAAAGCGCAAATAGTTGCTACAAGCAACACTGCAATTATGGGCATTTTTCAAATTTTCCGAGCATATAACGAATGCAATATTTTTTCGAAATTTATGTTGGCGGGGTTCTAATATTTGCGCGGCCTAATCAATCCATTTTAGTTTGAATCTGCTCATCGCATCATAAAAATTATTTTCTCGAAAACTTTTATTGTTATCCACAATGATACCAACATTTAACATTGGCTCAGGTGAAGGACTGACAGCTTCACTTCAACTACAAAATACTACGCGTTTTTCAACCGAAGACATCTATGTATTCGACATAACAGCCAATTCTTCGGTATTTATAGTTTCTGGGTCAAACCATGAGATTAAACTATACGATCGTAACTCGCTGCGCGTTGACTGTGTTTTGTCTTTTCACTGGGACACTATTACAAAAGTGAAGGCACATAAAGAGAATTTTTTGTTGTCCAGCTCAAAGGACGCAAGCGTTGCTCTTTGGGACTTGAGAAGCCCGGGTGGTCCGGTTCAAGTGTTTCGTGGTTAGTTGCTTTTTTTTGGTTTAATATAAATTCCCGAACCTCACGACGCATGATTAATTATACTTTAATTTATATTTGTTTAGCTAGTAGAACTGAACCTTTATTAGCTTTTGATTTCAACAGCAGTGAAACAATATTAGCGGCTGCAACCGAACTAGTACACAACGACGCGAAAATAATATTTTGGTAAATTTCTCGTTTCATGCATTATATCTACTATTTAGAAATATTTCTCCTCTCTAAGCAACCAAATACAAACAATAAATCTAGCTAGGTTCACGCGCCACAACTATTTCACGTTCGTTTGAATTTATAGGGATACGCGTCAAAACAATTCAATAGCTGGTCAATTCGCCGAATCGCATAACGACGATATCACACAACTCCATTTTCATCCGTCAATTCCGTCGAAAATGCTTTCCGGTTCCACAGATGGACTAATATGTAACTACGATATAACCAATTTTGACGAGGATGAAGCGTTAGTAGGCGTGATTAACTCGGGTTCTTCAGTTCATAAAGCTGGGTATTTTGGTCCACAGGCAGATTATGTTTATTGTCTGACGCATATCGAGACTTTTAGCATATGGTCTGAAAAGGAGGTAAACATATGATAATAATCTACAAGATTCAGACAAAAATTTAATTATATATTCTGTAAAGACAAGTTTACTCTGTAATTTTGGCGATCTTCGACAACTATCTGCTTTAAATAATAATACTGTACTCGACTATGCCATTGATTGTTATTATGATCAACCTAATCAAAGATTATTTGTATTGGGAGGCTCTAACAGGTACCTTATCTATATTGCAAGTTTATTTTTTTTTCTCTTTATTGATTTTTACTTTTTCTTGGTAGCGGCGATATCAGCATAATACATGTATCAGTAAATCAATTAGATATATGTCAAAATTTAAGAGGCGGACACACTGAAGTTGTTCGCGGAGTTTTCTGGGATCCTCGAGTAAGTGTATATTTATTATTTATGTGTGGATATAAAATTTTATTTACATGCATATTTAATTCTAAATACAATCATAGGCAAATTTGATGCTTTCTGGCGGAGAGGATTCAAACTTGAGTTATTGGAGTGCGCCGATTAATAATTGTCGTCGAAGATGATGATTCTAAAATGATTTTTTTTGGTCGGCTAATCCCAAAAAAAAGATGTATAAATAAATTCAACAATCGTTTTAGAAGTTTGACTTGTGTTGAGTATTAAAAAAAAGAATATCACGTACCTGTACATTAAAAAAATATATATCGATAAATTAAAGATACAAAAAACCTTTTGAATGAAGAAATGAACAACAACTAGAAAAAAAGAGTTTTCAATTTCCGGTTGTTGCTGTTGCTATTGCTGTTGCTGCTGTTGTTGCTGTTATCATCTTCACGAAATAAACTAAATGGAAATAATGGTGCCAGAAAAGGATGACAGAGAGCTTCTCGGGGTGTTGGTCTTTTTAAGGGATCATACTGAAAAAGATCATCAACAAAGCTCACAAAATCGAGACTGCATGTTTTCAATACTTTACGAAGTCGTGATTTACGAAATGCACGTGTTCTGAAAATTTTATTATCATTAAAATTATAATTATTAATTACCATTTAGCAGAAAATCAAATTGATACTGACCTGGCCTCTAACAAAGGATCTTCTTGCCCTTCGGCAGTAGTTGTTTCAAGTAGTATATCCTCTATTTGAAATTTTGCTCGATTATACGGGTTAGTTGGAAATTTTCCCAAGATTTGGATGATCTCGTATACTATACTTTTCCTTGTCATGCCTTGTTGCTGTTGCTGTTGTGGTGGTGAATGTGATTGTTCTAGTAGTTCGGTTGAACTTTGGAAAATTGGTCGACCAAGCCAAATTTGGCAGATAATGCATCCTGATAATTTAATCATTTTATAGCAAAATAAAAAATGGGAAAGATATCATTTTTAAAGAGTTAAACATACCTAAAGACCACATGTCGATTGCTGATCCGAAAGGAATCCCAAGAAGCACCTATTAATTATTGATGGGAATATCATACAAAAAAAATATGATTCGCTAAACACTCGACCGAAGCAAATCTATTTGTTAATACCTCTGGTGCTCTGTATAACGGATTTTGAATTTCGAATGTTTTGAAGTATATCGGTACATCATCCAAATTCATAGCATTTCCAAAGTCGATTATTTTCAATGCAGACGAATTTCCTATGTATTCATTCACAAACACATTAAGAAAAAATAAATCCACTTTGATAACAACACCCTTACGTTTATTAGTAAGAAAGAAAATTACAACCTGAATCCAACAGAATATTGTCCGGCTTCAAATCAGCATGTAATATCCCCATTTTCTGAAGATACATCAACGCCGACAATATCTGACAAGCGAATTTACGTATTACGTGTAATCGCGTATGTTCTGATTGATTTCTAGGCACTGTTGTCAACATTCCACCTTCTAGATACTCAAAAACAAGACAGAAATGCTGCTCAAAGACGAACGTGTTGAAGATCTTGACCACGGGTATGCTGTTATTTACATCGCTTGCGTTCAGATATCGTAGAATTTTGCATTCCTATTATAATTCGAAACCGATAATGATTAAACTGGAGTTTCATCAATTCCATTGTATAAGAATATAAAGATTATTTACTTGGATCCCAATTGAGTTAAATTTAGTAGCCATCATTTTAATAGCTACCAATGGCCGTCCAGGAAAGTAAGTGTCTTCGGCACATAACGTTCGCGAGAAAGTGCCACGACCTATTACCCTGAGTACGCGATACCGACTAGCCAATAGCGGCCAACTAAGTTCTGGTCCCAAAGCAACAGAACCACATACGTATAAACAAATAATATGCTCAAACGTAGACATATGCGAATACTTGGAATATGTATGTATGTATATATTATTACTGTATTTTTTGCCAATCACCTTCCCTTGAATCTAAACGGCGCGAATATTTCTGATGGTTATTATTGTTGTTGTTGTGGTGGTGGTGGTGGTTATTGATAGTATTGGTTTTTCCTATAGTAGCGCATGATTTATCCCAAGATTCTTGTAAGGTCGATTGTGAGCATTTGACTTTTTGTTGTTGCGATTGCAGTTTTTGGTGCAAGTCTGATAATCCTACTGTGATGCGATGTAAAATGTTAAATGGAGCTGTGGCTGGCCTACAAAATTCAACAAAATTACGCTGAATTTGACGTAGGTTCGTTGAAATTATGTAGTCTTGCGAATTCCCAATTGACGACGTGTCGCGATAAGGAAGCATTATACGAGAATATCGATATGTATCCTGAAAACATGAAAATAAGATAATTTATTTATGATATCAAGATGTGAGTCATCCACATGGTTAAATGTCATATATTATATTTTAGTGATAGAAAATGAACATTAGAATTTAAGTAACGGTAATGACGCGTCACTACATTATTTATCACGCGTCACTCTGACCCCAACATGCATACCAACTTTGGCTAACGTCTCTAACTGATTCTTCGAATTCGTGATCAAATCCGAATCAAATATAATCTCGTTTTTCTGCCATAACACGACGACAGTGCTTCCACCATATGCGAAATATCCCAACTCGTCTCCCTTGAGAACTTTTTGGTTCTCGTGTACCGTGTATCTAATAGAGCCTACTAAGAGTGCGCCTATCGAGATAAAAGCTACTTCTTTTTCGCCCTGTTTCGATGATGTTGAAGATGCTGATGGTTCGGGTTTTAGGATAAGAACTGATCGCACATTTTCGGTAAAGACGTTTATGTTTCTGTTGATGGCCATTGGATTCACTTTTTTATATTTTAAAAAGATGAGCAACTCGTTCCAGAGTAAAAGTCATAAGTGTTACTTTGTAATTATTAACCTGTATAATAAGTTCCAGGAATATAAGTTTCTGCACCGATTATCGCGTTAATTGGAGAATGGAATCGATGATAATCTTGAGGGGCTAATCGAAATATACCAATAGATCCGCCATCGAATTTTTCTGCCTTTGATATCAAGTTATTCGTCTCATTTTAAATGACTTTAAACATGGTCTCTTTTAATAATTAAAACTTACCAATTCTTTATTTTGCAAAAGATTCCCTACTGTAAATTTTTTGCCCTTAATCCTTAAAAATAAAAAAATATTTACCAACTATTAATCTAATTACCAAAAGTAAAAGAACAAAAAAAACGCCAACCAAAACTTTTTCGTCAGATCAATACTCTCAAAAACCATCAACCGACAATCCGCAGGCGATACAACGACGTTCACATTTTCAAAATCATCAATTTGTCGCGCGTCTTTCCGCAATTTTCGATAAAAGAATTCGTTGAATGTCGTGTACTTACTTATATCGGGTTCTACCAGTTCATTAAGGTCAATGTGATACTGGTGGATAAAATGAGGGATGTTATGTACAGAGTGTGCAGAATCAAAGTATTCTCCTTGGCGTTTTGTTTCTTCGGCGAATAGATGCTGGATTGTTGATAATTCAACGACTGGATATTTCAAAGTAAATGATTTATTTATTTATTTCTTAAGCGCCAATAGTTGTACTTTTTCTTAATGTTAATAACATGATAACCTTTTTCTTCCATGAAAAGTAAATGCATCCCAATTCTAGTATATATTGGCATCTCCTCCCAGATTCGTTCCCCTGTCTTTTAAATCAATTATTATAATATAATTAATTAGTTAATTATCCTTAAAAAATAATAATAATAAATCAAAGCACCTCACGAACTATCACAAAATTTCCGAAATGTTCACGCGCTGCCCACCGTTCAATAGACGGCGACAATTTATACAGCGGGTTCAAGTATCGATGAATCGCCGAATCATGAGGATGCGTTAGATTGGAGTTTGAAAGAATCGCGACAGATGTGACTTGATTGATATTATTAGTCATTAATTAATTGATCTTTTTGGCTGATGAAAAATTGTATGTTCATATGCATACCATTTGTTTTCTTTGTTGCACTGATTATGGCTTTTAAAGCCTAAAAAGATAACAGCTGAGCAAAGTTATGCAATTTATCATAATCGTAAAAATGAATTATAATATATACTTTATTTAAATAAACGTGATCAGTTTTCAAATCATAATTATGAAAAGCTTCCGGAGATACTTCAACAATGTTATCGTCGTTATTGATATTTTGCTTGGATTGATGTTCGCTCATATTGGTTTGTAAAAATGGAAAAATTAACAATAAATTACTGTACGATGTTAATCAATCAAAACATGCATTTCATTTTCGTATTTATAAAGTAGTAACAGTAATTGGGTTTTATGCATGCATCCTCCTTCATTATTTGTATCGGTATTGTCCCGATTTGCAGATGATAACAAATGGTTAACTCATGCATTTCGGATAAGAAAAACTTTTGGATGTTTCAATCGAGTGGTTTATAAAATCCCATTCAAAACGTTTATCCTTGCAATGTGATAGGAATTTAATGCCACGTAATCAAAGCCGTAATATTTCACGTTTAATAGTTAACGATCGATAAATATCTCAGCACTTTTGCGAGTAAGTAATTAGTGTTTAATATTTCGCATGTGTAGATAATTGAATTTTGCGCATAATTAAGACTGATTATACCTTCAGCAAATAATAATAATAATAATAATAATAATAGAGTAATATATGATGAATGAATACCTAAACCTATGTCTCCTGAAGATTTTCTTCAGATGACGGCGGATCGTAAATAGTAATTTCTTTTGCGACAAATGGACCCAACATTTCATCCGGCCATCGATAATTAGCTTCAGATGGAACAGGATCCTCGTCAAAAACATCAGAAATTTGTAATACATGTTCCATATCGTCCTCGTCGTAGGTTAATTTGAAATTATTATTGCGCCATTCTTCTTGGTAATTTGTATACTCGTTACGAGTAAGACTATCCCATGAGACACTAGTAAAAGGATCTTTCTTATTTTCATCATCTACGGGAGATAAAGGTGCTTCCCATTCAGAGCCATCACCAAAGAACGTGACCATGTGGTCATCAGTGTAGTATTCGTTGATACCTCTGAGATGAGGTCTTGTCACGGAAAAACTGTAGACTTCGTCGTGAAGCCATTGCTCCCAGTTGGATAAGAAATTGTCGTCGAGCATTATGTCGTCTATGTATGCCGCGTTGTTCAGTTTAAATGGTTGTGTGTGGTTTGGTGGAAATATATCCGGAAAGTAACCTTTATCATCTTGGTGATTGGATGAGCCATTTGGTAACTTTTCCCCATTTTGCGAAAGATAGTGACGTGTGTTGTAGAATTTAATTGATTCTCGAAGCGCCTGTTCTTGTGGCTAATGAAATATACGTGATGTTATAAAAATTTGGTATATGTGAAGATAGTAAAACAATCGAGAGAAGTTTAAATGGATTTACTTGCCAAGGCATCATCTAATTCCGCATCAGCGTCAGTCGAAGATATCCATTCATCCCTCAGATCTGGACGACATTTTAGAAAAATCGATGTAATAACTTTCATATTGCCTAAATTTGAGCAAAAGTATTATGAGAATTAGAATTAGACGCAAAAACTCTGACATATGGCAACATATACTTTGACGCCATTTTCTTCCCACAAATGGTATTTGATTCTTTAAGACTTTTAATGCGTATAGCTCCAGTAGAGGATGCGGCACTTTTAGTATACGTTTCAAAATTGCCTATTAATTAAGATTTAAATGCATTAAAATGAGGTATGCTTCGATAATGTCATTTGAAAGAAGAGATTCTCACAGAAGATTTATACTGCACTAGCAATGAAATTCTATGTGTTTTTTTCTTTGTCAATTTCTGTAATATTTTCAAGAAATTAATGGCGGCAAAAAAGTTACGCCAACAAAATTCCGTCTCATCATCGTCTTGAGCTTTAGTGGAAGATTCATCATCTTCTTGCCCAACCGGTTTAATTTCCCCAGTAACTTCAGGTTCTTTTAGTTTGTTCGAGACATTTTCCTTTTGGGCATTTACAGCGCAAAATTGGAAGAAACTGAGTAAAATGATAGAAAATAATGTTAATGTATACAGTGCAATTATTATTATTATTATTATTATTATTATTATTATTATTATTATTATTATTATTATTATTATTATTATTATTATTATTAATAATAATATTAATATTAGAATTAGAATTGAGGCGTCAAAAGGTAACTTACTTTAATTCTGCTACTTCATTGTTTGCTTTTGTGGCTAATGCAACATCTTGTAGACCAAACATCTTCAGTATGAGAAGTAAGCAATTGGAATCGACTAAAAGTTGTGAGAGGTATTCAAATTTCAAAGCATCTTTTATATTTTTAAATGGTCAAGTTAATAAAAAAGGGCTTTTGTGATTAAAGAAATAATAATATAGCAAGAAAATAAAGGATACGAGAAAGTTTAAAATGCTTAAGCATTAATATCAAAATTGCCGAAACTGCTTTCGAAGTTATTTCACGATGTCGCATTATATCGACCTCTTCGACAGTGTTGCTCTTGGTTGAATGCGAGGCAGCAGCGCTTCCTTCTATGTTCAAAATTGAGAAATACAAGTAATCAATAAACTGCTCAATAATATAAAACGATAGTTTCAGAGAAAAACCATCAAAATCCCATACCACCACCGTTCGAAGAACTTGGTTTATTTTCACTATTTTCCGATGATTTCGAAGAATTAGCGTTACTATTTGATGATACTGTGGCAAGCAAAAGCTTCAAAAGAACTATAACAATATTTTGCATATGAGGTAAAATTGACATCTATCAAAGACACTTTGTATAAGAATTATATAGACAAATATTTAAAAAAAATAGCAATTACGTTTATTTGATTACAAAAAAAGGATACATAAAGAACTTCAATCCTCTCCAATTTTTCTTGATTTCTTTCATCAATATGCAATGCTTCGTGTTTATTCCCATCCTCAATTAATTTCTTTCCGTTAATCCTTAGGCTTCTATCAGTCATTCCATCTGCCATAGCATTATTATTTTGTTGTCGCTTCATTTCTTCTCGTTCAATCAGACATTGTAAAGCACTCAAGCTGGTGTACATGAATTTCACGTATAGATCACCTGCTTCTCTAATTGCTTTTGGCACTTTGGGAGTTGATGCGGAGAAAGGAAAAATAAACGGTTGTCGTTGATTGGTTTGAAATTGTTGTTTACGTGATTTTGGAGTAGAATTACTATTATTATTGTTGCTGCTGCTGCTGCTATTGCTGCTGTTGTTATTGTTGTTATTATTGTTGTTATTGTTATTATTGTTGCTGCTGTTGCTGTTGCTATTACCATTATTATTATTACTGCTATTACTATTATTATTCCCATTAGTATTATTATTATAATTCCCATTAGCATTCGTAGTCATTTGATTAAAAAGTTCGCTTCCATTATTGGAAAAAAGTGCATTAAATGGTTTGGGGATAACGGCGGGACAAGGTGATGGTGTATATGTAGGAAACTTTTGGGTGACTTCATTGTGGAAGGTGTAATAATCAAATGGTGTGGATTTTGTTATGAGACCTATATTAATAATCCGATCAATATGGATATTATGAAAATACTTCAGATAATCCTTGCGCTTTATAAATACATAAAAACCTCTATTCAAAATACGGCATCGGCATCACTACCTCGGTCGCGTAAAGGAGCCAGTCCATGCATTTGTCTCACAATTTCTTTTAGTCTATTGATTTCATCGATTCCTCCTAGACTCGCTAAAAGGACTTTCCAAAGCAAAAGTAACAACTTTTTGTGGAATAAAGCCAGAAAATTAGTATTATTATTATGTTGAAGAAATTTATCTTTCAAGTAAGAGGAATACCTTCTTGACTGGATATCCTTTAGCATTTTTTTCTCGTAATGATGCAATAACTTCAAACAGAAAAACTGCCATAGGTGGATCGGACTTAACTTTATGATGAAAGATTAGGTTGAGTATAAAAGACGCGTCAAGATACTAGCCAACATATAATAAACACCTAATTCTGTGCCGAAAGTTTCATCGTTACGGTGAACCTCAACGAGCATATACAATAACGTCAGATAGAATCCAATTTCCGCGTGTGTATCGTCAATATAAGCTTGCCGTTCCCCAGTTCCGATATTGAGGTCTGGACGACTATTTATAGTATTTAATTAATAAATAAGTATTTTTCTATTTCAAATTTAACTTAAAATCCTAATCTACTCACCTATAATAATCATGAGCATTGCAAGCTAATTTAAGTGCTTGAAAATATGACAAAAGAGCCCCACTTTTCCTCAATAATTTATTATTCTCTTTAATCCAACGAAGATGTTCCTCGGGTGACGATGTCTCACCAAACGTTCCTGATTGGAATTGAATGTGAGTGCGAAAAATATAAATCTGAGAAAACAATAATCCTTGCTTTTTTTTTGCTTCGTAATAAAATATTACGCTGAATTTTTGTAATTTTTTTCCTTTAGAAGATTCGTCCTATGAGTCAGAATCATCATCGCGTAAATACCTTGAGCAATATACAATATTTTCCGAGCTGAGGAAAATCTTCGTTGAGGATCTTTTAATTCAAGCGTCTCTAAAAGATACTCTACGTATGTGCGGCGTTCAGATATTGTGCATTTTGTCCAGGCTGGATAAGGAATGTTTATTATAGATTTATTGAACACTTGTCTCATAACTTTTCATTAACTAGTTAGAAGATTGCCTTAAATTTGATAATTACGTTCGTCAAAGGTTTCTTCAAAAGATTTTTGATTATCAAGGCATTGGCTGATTTCAACATAGCTGTAGAATTCATCTATTTCATTGGATATATCATCACTATCGGCATAAGAGAACAGAATTTCTTTAGGCTATTGAATGTAGTTAAAACATGTTCATTAATTAAAGAAATTTCTTAATTTCATAAGAAAAGAGAAAAGACTTTACTTTTGTTTTGTTAGGAAATTGCTTCACAAGACTCTTTAGTTCACTTAGAGTAAGAGAATCATTGGTTGCTTCTTCGTTCGTTTGTTCTTTCAGGGACTCTGCGATGTCTGCCATTTGTGTATAATATAGCGTCTAAAAGAACGTAAAATTCAAAAAATATAATTCCAATTTTCGATAAAAAGAATATAATTAGTTTTCAAATACCTTGCGAGAATAAAATAAACAGTTACGTTCTGCAACGTAATACAAATTTTTAGGGTGCAAGTTATATTTGATTCCTTCCTTAGCTATGAAACCTTTCACCATACAAATAGGTGGCTAGAATCCTTGTTTGTTTGCTAGTAATAACTTGCACCGTACAAGTTTACCTTTTATTGTATTAAATTCCTGCTTTATTAGATACACAAGATTCTTTAAAACAAATGAAACCTTAACATTATTTTTGTAATTGGCAAAAAATAGTGTTAATTAACAAGAATACAAGAATCATATAATTAAGTTAATAAATTTATTTGCAAAGATTTACAAGTTCAAAAAGCAATTAGTTACAATTTAATTGTTCTATTAATAAATAATTATCATTCATTATAATTGCAATCAATTATTATTGATAATGAAAATTAATAACAATGGATTTTACAATATTTTATTATTTAATTTATTTTGTTAAATAATAAATTTGAATATTATTAACTAATTAAAAATATAACTTTAAATATTAATATATCATAAAAGTTTTTTTCTCAAATTTTTTTATAATTAAATAACATGTAATTAGTTCAAGGAAACTATAAAAAGAATTAAATTGTTATTAAAATATGACATTATAAAAATTTATATAACATAATTATTCTAAAATATTAGAAATTATATTATTTTTTATAAAATAATAAAGTACAAAAAAAATTTAATCAATAATATTATAATTATTATTATAATTATATAATTATCATTTTTTTTATATCCAATTATTATTTTCATTTCACTGAGATATTTTATTTAATTAAATAATATAACTTGATTTAAATTTCAAATTTGTTATTAATATTTTATAATATAGATAAAAAAGATATAATATTTATTATTAAATTTTATATTTATATTAAATATTTTTGTATTATAACTTTTGATATATCTCATAAAATAATGAAGTAATTATTTTTTAAAATACAAAAAATTTCTTTATAAATTTGTTTAAATAAATTTGTAATATAAATATATAATTATTAATAATACAAAACTTAAAAATAGCAATAAAAATAATATAATTAACTATAAAAATTTGCTTAATAATACAAGTTTTTATAATTATTTTTTTATAAAATATGTATTACCAATTTTTTATTATAGATTTTATACATAATAATTAATTTGATCAATTATAATTCTTTATTTATTAATAATAAAGTATATTACTTTAAATTTTGATTATAATAATCAATCAGAAGTGTCTGCTTTTATTATATGACTAGATTTAAAACTGGTTAAATTGTTATTTTTATTAATAATAATAACCAACTTTAAAAAAATTTAGCTTTATTAAAACTTAATCAATTAACAAATAATTTTTATAATTTTATTTTTCTTATTTTTCTATATCTTTTTATATATAATATCAAATTAAATAATATAATATATAACAATTAAGCAAGTGAGTAAATAAAGCAAGTGAATATTTTTCATATAATAATAATATCAATTAAATTTAGTTTTAGATTTTGATAATTAAATAATGAATAATTTGTATAAATATATAATATATATTTTAGTTTAAAAAGACAATAGTTTATTTTTTAGTTATTTATATTTCTTTAATTATTTTTTAATTAGTTTCTTATTATAATCTTTTATTTTAATTGTTTTAATTGTGAAGTTATTATTAATTTTATAAACTTTTATCTTAATTATAAATTATATTTCTTATAATTCTTGTAATTGAACTTTTGTCTTAACTATAAAATTATAGTAATATAATTAAATTAATAAATAAATCAAAAACTACTTTACTTATTATAAATTAAAGAATATAATTACTTTTGAATATTTTTTGATCTTATTCTAGCTGATCACAAAATGAACATATAGTAACTTAGTATTTTAAAAGTTATTTTATAAAAACGCTTTATTTGACTTAATTACATATGTAATTTATATGTTCTTTCATAACAAATCCAAAAGTTATATAAAATGATAATAATATATATTTTTTTTAATTTAATAAAAAATATGAATTAAATATATTTTCAATTTATTTATTTATTAAAATACAAATAGCATTTCTTGATAATTATCTATTAATTGAAATACAAAAAATATTTCTTGATTTCTTGATAAATTTAAATTTACAATTTTAATTAGAGAAAAATCTATATTGTCATCAAATTTTTTGTATTATTTAAATATATTAAATATATATAACTATATATAAAATAGCTATTATAATATAATTATATTTCTTTTAAGACATATTCTTAAAATTGGTGTTTTTGCAACTTTAAAGAGAACATATAAAAAAGCTAACCTTGCTCTTGTAACAAAATTGCACTTTATAGATTTTTAATTTATTCTTAATTCAAGCAGGTGATTTGTAAATGCACTCATTGATTTGATAAAGTGGCTATTCGATTCAGATTTAATGAGAAAATTTTATGTTCAATAACTATAATAGACTCCATTACTTAGAAATGTGGTATTTGATTTTACCCTTTTTACAAAAAAACGCAAACTTTATTCAGATCAGTCCGATTTTGACTCAAGTAAATCAGATCACAAGCATCCTTCACTTTTTCCACCTCATAACATACACGAAACTTTCACACTAGTAGTAAGTGATCAGAATCAAAAGTGAGAAAATAAGTTTATTTGTTATCCGATATAATCCTTTTTCTCTTTTTTTGATTGTCTTTTTTTGAACGTTCGTAGCAAGCCGCAAGAGAATCGATAATATATTCATCCGGCCTCAAATTCAACTTAAATATTTTGTCATAAAGTCTTAGCGCGGGCTGAAAACTATTTTGCTCGCAAAACTGAGTAATTAAAGTTTTAATTGTTGAAATATCGGGTGCAAAACCTTTTGATTCCATCATATCTAGACACGCATTGGCCCCCGCAGGATCTTCTTTTTTCAAGTAAGCATCTACGAGTTTATTGTAAATCGTAATGTCTGGCTTTATATCTTCACGCTCCAGTTCTTTCAATAAGTAATGCGCTCCTTTAAAATCGCATTCTTGAATAGATACTAATAATAATATATTGTAAGTCTCAATATTCGGTTTAACCAATCCATGTTGCATCTCTCGAAAAATTGGTATTGCCCAATCTAACCTTCTGATATGTACAAAAGTAGAAATTAGCGAGTTCAAAGTGTTCACATCAGCCGAAATACCCCTATTTCTCATTTCTATTAAAAGCATTTCCACTCTTTTAAAATTTCCGCATTGTCCAGAAAGATGAAGTATTAAATTATATGCTTGACTTTTTAAGTTTAATCTCATATATCTGAGGTCATCATAAATTTTATTTAGAAAAATCGAGACAAGATAATCATTTTCATAAGTTTTTAGTGCCGTAAGCAAATCTATGTAGTCAATATAGGTCAATAAATTTAACGCGTTTTTCTTTGATGTTTGTGTATAAGTTTTCCAAATTGTCTCCAACGGTTTTTTTTTAGATACTTGTTGGCGTAGAATATTCACCAACTTTTGATTTTCATTTGAAGATGAGGCAGCCTCAAGCTTTATTTTCTCTGAATTTTTTTTCAAAGTTTCCACCTCTGTTTTGTCATAATTATTTTTTGTATATCGACCATTATTAATGCTCCCGCTAGTTGCTGTTGTTTCATATTGCCGTGTAAAATGCCAATGCAAGGATTTGCTATTATGTTTCCGTAATCTTAACAAATATAAAAAGCCATTGCAGGTGTAAAACTTTCGGCTTAGTCGTTGAGGTGTTGCTGTTAATGCAAGTATCTTTCTCGAATTAAAGCTAATTCTGTAAAACATAGTTTTCAGCAAAGAACTCCCGTGTTGTCCTGCATAGTCGGAAAAGTTAAATGCTAACTAAAAAAGGTAATTCTTTAACTCAGAATTTAACTCTAATCCTAATTCTGGTGGATCAACCAATTAAACGAAATGTTACATAATTTTTCATTTTTATTATTCTAAAAAGTATTTTTAAAAAATATCAAAAAATAATATATTACAACAAATCAATATCGATGAATTTTATAAATTAAAAATAATAATTTATATTTTTTTAGATTTTTAAATTTTAAATGCAAATTTTTATATAAAATAAAGTATTATATTTTGTAAGTTTATATATAATTATATTTTAAGTAAAATTATAATTGTTTACAATTTTTATAAAAATATAAAGTATTATTTAATATAATTACAAAATAAGTTAATAATTAAATATAATTTTGTAACTTAAAAAATCTTTTTAAATTAAATTTAAAAATCTAAAAACATTATACTAATAATTAAAAAAATAATATTGTTAAGATTACTAATAAATTATAATAAAATATAAGAGAATTTTTTATATGGTATTTTAATTTTATTAATTAATATTTTTATTCAAAAATATTAATAAAAATCTAGTTATTATTTTGTAAAAATAATTTTTGAATTTTAGATATTCAAAATAAAAAAAATAATATAATATATAATAACTAACAGAACTATAAAATTATGCATGCAATTTTATTAATAAAATATAATAAAAATTAAAATTTTTGTCTTATATAAAAGTTTTTAATTTTATTAATAAATATTTTATATTTTTATATCAAAAAAAAAAATTATAAGTTATATTTTAATATATATTTTTTCTGAATTTTTTAGATTTTTTTTTGATAAGTTATTATAATTACAAAGTTATTGCAAAAATTTTTTTAATTAATTTTATATTTTAATTATAAATCTAAAAAATTCAGAAAAATATATATTAAATTATAACTTATAATTTTTGTTTTAATATAAAAATAAAAAAATAAAATTGAAAACTTTTATATAAAACAAAAATTTTAATTTTTATTATACTTTATTAATAAACTTACATATATAATTTTATAACTCTATTAATTATTATATATTATTTAAAGTTATAGTCAAACCTTTTTATAATCACACTCATTTATAGTCACACTCCTCTATAATTACTTTATTTTGCTTTCCTATTTATATATGAACATAATAAAAAAATTTCTCTATATTCACTCTTTATAATTACCAAATTTTGCTTTTCTGAAGGTGGTAACTATAAAGGAATTTGACTATATTAAATATTTATATTTATAAAATATTGTTATCATTTTAATGAGACTTTGAAATACTCAAGGATATTTATGATATTCAAAGAGGAAACTCGAATATCTTAATAACAATTCACAGTCTTAATAATACTTTATGATTTTAAACTAAATATAAGTTAAATTACAATAAGTACTTATAAGAATCACTTAAAGATTGGTAACAGTTATGTTTTTTTAACACAATAACTGAACTGCTAAAAAGAGTTCTCAAAATCTCAGAGTCAAAGTTATAATATATGTATTAAAAATGTCTTTAAATCTTTAAAGTCAAAATATAAAATATAATATTCATATTATCAGCAATACGAAATTGAAGATAAATGTATAAATAATATATTATTAGCAATACAAAGTCAAAGGTAAGTTTATGAGCAATGTATCATTAGTAATACAATCTCAAAGACAGATTTATGAATTATAATAATAATTTCTTTATTTAATATAATATTCAATAGACT